TCATCAAGCCGGTCATCCGTCGATTTCAAACATCCGATACCACTGGTCCTATTACTACTGACACTGGCGCTCTGTCCACGTTGAGGTTTATTACTGGCTGGCATGATGAAAAATATTGCTAAATAATAGCAGAGAATCCCAAAAGTATCACTTCAATCTCTCCGATATAATACAAGTCCGGTATATATAGCGTATACACAGCTCGGTCAGGTACAGGTAAGTGGTGAGTAGTAGTCAGCCGCGAAGCTCAGTCCATTATTTCGACCATTTACTTCAAAAAAGACTATTTTCCGAAGAAAGTTCAATTAGGTCTGCACACAAATGGATAGTTGAACGATCTATCTAACCCATGTCCAAAAATTGTATTTCACAATACGGTGTTGACTTTGGAAAAAGTATGTTTTCTCGGAGCTCTGTTACAATCGACTGACTAGGTCCTCGTGACCTTGACCCCAAAATTTGAATATTTATCAAAACAAAAGTTTTAAATGTTTGTGAAAAACATCACAGCAATAACAAGAAATATCTTTAACACAGATAAATTCAAAAGTAAATGGATGACTTCGGTGTTGTATATAATTCAAACTCAAAACACAATGTAACACAATCTAAGATCCTACAATGTGACAGTGATACTGTGAAAAAACAATCAGGATAAGCTGAAATTTTCCAGATGAGCACATTTAAGGACCATTGTCACAAAATTGTTTGCCAAATTGAATGGTATGATGAATTCAAAAACATTGTTGGTGCCATCAGAACAGGAAAAAAGTGTTTTAATATGAAGTACTAATTATAACAGTATATACATATATTGACAATACAGTTTAGATATATTGACAATACAGTTTAGAAGAAAATAAAAGTTTCAGTTCACAAAATATATTATATGCTTGAAAATGACATAATACCCCCGACCTGCATTCTGATGTCCATAACAGCGTGAATAACATTTATCTGCATCTTAAAGATTTAAATCATCATTATGCATTTATATTTGTCATTTTAACTGCAGGAAAATGTATCCATTCCATGCACGTAACCAAGTCATATGCTGATCTTCCAATGCGAAAGAGTGGTAATAAATCATAAAGCTGTAAGGGAATTTACAATACTACTTCTCATTTATTTAGAGGCTTTTACTCAAAGAGAAAACCCAGTAAAGTTAAGTTTCAATTAAAACATATTAATGAATCATTACGTCCCTGATCCTAGTGATGAACAGCCCTAGCCCTGTGTGTACATGTTCTGCCCCTGGAGGTGCAGGCCATAGGGTCCGGGGTTACAAGACTAACTAAATTATGACATTTTACGGATGATTAATGGTTCAACGTGGATCGATTTCCATTGTCAATGTTTCCCTCATAATATCAAAAACAGTAAGAAAAGAAAACTAGACGAATCCAGGAGGTAGAATGTGTTCGTGAGTTGTAAGGAGCGAACTAAAGTAATTAGGTCTAACGAAGAGTTATCGACTCACCACGGCATCTATGTCTCAAAAACAGACAAAGTGAATAGACTTGATTAGTCATCATGTTAGCCCCTTGGAAACATAACTAAATAGTGGCAACACATTACCATTTAATCAGCCGCTTTCTCTTCCTAATGGCTGGGTACGCGCCTTTCCACCATGCGGGCAGCCATGTTTACATGTCCTACATTCGATTTATGGGTTAGTTCTGAGGTGACTCGAAAGGAAACAGGAATCCGAATGAAATTTGTTTCAAACACGCGGGTGAATTGTGGGAACTATCACGTGGGTTGTTTTTGAAGTAAATAATGCACATGGATCGATCATTGTATATATCGCCTGAATTATTTTTTGCAAAACGTATGATACACAGAGGACATTCATATAGTTATTAAGTAAGTATATTAATTTATGAGAATGCATATGAACTGTGAGGACCCCATCAGATTGCTAAAGTGCCATTCACTTACTCCTTTTATGCAGCCTGTCCGCCCAATGGCGACCACTATACACCGCCATCTTGAAAGAAATACGACCAGATGATTCACGCTGCAGTCTGCTCCTCATCTTATGAGATATCTATACTTTATATGCAAATCTTGTAATAGCACTGAGTATTAAAAAATTCAATTTAATAATAAAATTAATTTAACAAATAATTGTTTCTCATACTATAATATGAAGCTTGTCTTAAACATGCACTTTATTACATAAATCAGATTTAAAGTCAAGATTATGTACAAAATATCAATATCAGCAATAAACTTGGCTCGTACATTTTGCAATTTTAATTACTTCTTTCGCAAATTATATATGTCGAACGGAATAATGCGCTTCGGATAATTTAAACATTGCAAATTCTCAACATTGCGGTATACTATAAAAGCAGTATAGTTAGGCACCTTATCAATGTTAGGTTAATGTGCATGCTGAAATCTTAGTGTGTATTTAACAAACGAAATTAACAATCGCAAATTTTAATTTTGTGATGGACCGCAATTGCATGAACATTAACTGCTAGCGGAACTGCGACTGGGTTGATCATCAGCGACCTGAAGTACTCAAGGTAGCACAATTAATGGTAGAGCATCCGACGAGAGTTTTGAGGGGTCCATTGACTAAGGGTTGAACCCCGGTCATGCATTTTTCCATCTCCGAATACATTTGGTGCCAGGATGTGACCAGAGCGAACCCTTAATTTGTTACAAGCTTTTGGGTGTTTCACTCACTCATTCAGCTTGGCATTAAGAATTGGACTGATCAGTTAGGTCATCAAGGACCTGCAGGCAGCTCAATCTGAATTGGTAGAGTGTCTGTACATGTCTAGTCAGTCGGAACTTCATTGTCCGGGGTTTGAAGCCTGGTCTGACTGCGTTTTTCATATCCTGTTCCAATACATTTGCATGCATCTCAGAATTTTCCAACCAATATGTTGCAGTTCTATATTGGTTTGTGTGCAACAGCATTAATATGTTAACAACATTTGGTTAGTTAAAATAATAATGCATTCAATTTGAAATTTTTCATGGCCTCTCAACACATATCCAAGATCAATTTACTTTTTTTAACTTAAACCTTTATCTAATCAGGATATAAATTGACTGGGGTAATTAAATATTTTTTATACTTTTTTTAATTTTTAACAAATAGCGTAGTCATCAGATTTGTTATCTTTGAAATGGCAATTTATTTCGTCTAAATATCCATGGTCATAAGGAAGGTAACTGATGTCTTTTTTTTTCAGTCAACTGAGACAATGTATAACTATGATTATATTACGGATCGTTATCACTGGTTTCATGTAACCTAGTATTGCGATTACATCTTTTGTATTTTGCATTGTGTCAATGAGCAATTATAATTTTAGAACTTCTCAAAAACCACCAAATCTATTTCAATAAAAAAATGCAGGCAGCAACTATGGCAAAAGATTCAATGATATTTTTTCAGACCTAGATATATATGCTGAATCAGATTTAACTCTTTATGGATGGAAATTAAAGGTCCTAATTAAAAAGTTGCTTTGAAAAAGTTTTGAATTTCATTATTACCCTCCCAGTCCACCAGGGATCAAACCAGGGACCCCTAGGTTCTCAGTCCACCAGGGATCAAACCAGTGATCTAATTTCCCAGTCCACCAGCTAGGATCAAACCAGTGACCCTAGCCTCCCAGTCCACCAGGGATCTACCCAGTGACCCCTACTTCCCAGTCCACCATGGATCTACCCATGGCCAGCTGTGACCACTAGCCTCCCAGTCCACCAGGGATCTACCCAGTGACCCCTAGCCTCCCTGTCCACCATGGATCTACCCAGTGACCCCTATTTCCCAGTCCACCAGGGATCTACCCAGTGACCCCTATTTCCCAGTCCGCCAGGGATCTACCCAGTGACCCCTATCTCCCAGTCCACCAGGGATCTACCCAGTGACCCCTGGCTCCCAGTCCACCAGGGATCTACCCAGTGACCCGTATTTCACAGTCCCCCAGGGATCTACCCAGTGACCCCTAGCCTCCCAGTCCACCAGGGATCTATCCAGTGACCCCTACTTCCCAGTCCACCAGGGATCTACCCAGTGACCCGTATTTCCCAGTCCACCAGGGATCTACCCAGTGACCCCTATTTCCCAGTCCGCCAGGGATCTACCCAGTGACCCCTATCTCCCAGTCCACCAGGGATCTACCCAGTGACCCGTATTTCACAGTCCACCAGGGATCTACCCAGTGACCCCTAGCCACCCAGTCCACCAGGGATCTACCCAGTGACCCCTACTTCCCAGTCCACCATGGATCTACCCATGGCCAGCTGTGACCACTAGCCTCCCAGTCCACTAGGGATCTACCCAGTGACCCCTAGCCTCCCTGTCCCCCATGGATCTACCCAGTGACCCCTATTTCCCAGTCCACCAGGGATCTACCTAGTGACCCGTATTTCACAGTCCACCAGGGATCTACCCAGTGACCCCTAGCCACCCAGTCCACCAGGGATCTACCCAGTGACCCCTAGCCACCCAGTCCACCAGGGATCTACCCAGTGACCCCTAGCCACCCAGTCCACCAGGGATCTACCCAGTGACCCCTGACTCCCAGTCCACCAGGGATCTACCCAGTGACCCGTTTTTCCCAGTCCCCCAGGGATCTACCCAGTGACCCCTAGCCTCCCAGTCCACCAGGGATCTACCCACTGACCCCTACTTCCCAGTCCACCATGGATCTACCCATGGCCAGCTGTGACCCCTAGCCTCCCAGTCCACCAGGGATCTACCCTATGACCCCTGGCTCCCAGTCAGCCACCCTACCAATTCAGTTAAAAGGAAATTCTAGCATGAAGCTAAAGGGGACTTTATTTCTATGAACATCTGTTGATAATCAATAAGAAATAATTCAAGCTTATGTTTGTGAAATGATAATCATGCATGTACAGTAACGACAGTTTGACAGTACAACTTCCTCTATAGATAGGCTTCCCTCTTTATTGTTTGCATACAATGAAATTGCCTTTAGAGCCATGTCCCTAGACAACACACAAACCAGCTTTTAACAGTGAATCATGAAATACTGCTTGAAAGTCGAAACCCATAGATCATGTAACAACTTAAACAATGATAATTGTACACATGTTTAATTGATTGTGATGTCATAACTTACTTGTGTGGATTACAACTGTACGATGTATGACTTCTGATTACTGGCATGGTAACACCTTCGGGTCACATGACAGGTCTGCTTAATATAAAGTAGTAATTATACCACTAAAACTTACCTGTGAGGACCTGAAAAGCTGTTCGCACTAGATCATATATATATAAATTGTAATATGAAATTTGTTACATACTTCAATTTAAACAAAGAAAAGATAATGCTGGGGATTTCATAATTGTTATATGTACATAAATTGTTGTTTTACTGTTGTGGTTTGTGGGGAAAACAGTGTTGCTGTATGACGGGGGTTATTTAAAAATAAACATGTGTATGTTCCTGTTGAAATTTATAAATATTATTGAATTTTCCATTACAGTTAATGACTGCATCTTGACACAGAAACAGTGATGGATTCAAAATCTGACGAAGTTGATGGGAAGACAACATCTGAAAAAGAGTTAGGAGTTGGAGAAATACTGGAGGATGTTACCAGCACAAACGTGACGAAAATTACCTCTGGAGTGGAAGATGTTGACAGGGTGACCAGTAGCACTTCTACGAGGACAAATCATTGTTCAGATCAAATTGAGGAGAATGGCCAAATTTCAGCGGAATCTAATCAACAAGCTGAGGTCAGTGGATAATGTAGTGTCTGAAAAGTCTATTTTATTTTGTATTCTCCATAAAAATTGGGGGGGGGGGGGGGGGGGGGGGGGGGGGGCAGGAGCGAGGTGTTATACATGTCCATTCCATCACAGTTCTTGTCATATGAGTGCTGGCTGAATTTCTCAACATAATTTTAATAAAGACTTAAGTTTATATAGAAGTGAAGTATGAGAACAACTCGGATAAATTCATATTTCGGGGTCCTGAAGTCAGTGTCAAAGTCACTTTTGCTATTTCTAGGTCAACTAACAGATTTACTGTCATCAGTCTACCGACTTCAGGGCAAAGGGGGCATTTATTTCTGAGAGATGTTTTATAATTATGAAAAGAAAGAAAAGAATAATTACTACATAATTGTCATATGCATGTACGTGTATTTAAAGTTACTATGAATTCTTGATGGACTTTGGTAGGATCAACCAATCATTAATGATGCATTTGTATTTCAGGCATCTGTCAATGCTGTGCAGTCTTCATCAGCACCTGACCCAGTACCTGGTAACAAAGACGATATCTCCATGGAAACGGACAGTAAGCACACTCCAGAAAGCAGCGAAGCTAACACAATGGTAACAGAGCATGCCCTAGCTGATAGCACTGCAGTCGAGGAGCCCTGCTGTGATGGAAGTGGAGATACTGAAGGTATCAGATTGAGCCCTAAAGCCAATATTGAGACTGTAGATTCTAGTGATAATAGACAGGCTACTGACATCACCATGGAGACAGGAGATTCAGTAGCGGACTCCTCTTGTGGTCTTAGTCAGATACAGATTATATGTGTGCAGAGCATGGCCACAGATTCACTAGGGATGGAGTTTGAAGACAGTATACAGATATCTTCAGAAGACCAGCAAGAGACAGTGTGTCCTGTGACTAGTCAAAGGTCAGAGGTCACTGGAATAGAAGATACATCTAGAAGTCCCACAGAACTATTGAAGGTGACAAAAGATGATGAAAATGCTATGGCTTCAAGTGTCTGTGTAGAAGAGAGCCCCAGAAGTGATGTATCCACGTCAGCACAGAGCAATGTTTCTTCATCAGAGGCTCCTCAAAGTCAGGACATCAATTTCAAAGACAATTTATCTAGCAAAGACTCGGCAATATCAGCAGTAGCTAAAAGTGACAGTGACATTACAATATCCACAAACATTTTACAGCCCTCCACAAAACAAGTAGTGGTCACATCACAGTCATGGGTAGCCAACCATGTCATTGATACCTCAATAGAGACAGCTACAGACCCCAACATCTTGTTAGAGACAACTATCATTGTACCAAACATCTCGTCAGGCACAGCTATAGCACCCGACATCTCGTCAGGCACAGCTATAGCACCCGACACCTCATCAGAGACAGCTACAGACCCCAACATCTTGTCAGAGACATCTATCATTGTACCAAACATCTCGTCGGGGACAGCTATAGCACCCGACACCTCAATAGAGACAGCTACAGACCCCAACATCTTGTCAGAGACATCTATCATTGTACCAAACATCTGGTCAGGCACAGCTATAGCACCCGACACCTCATCAGAGACAGCTAATGGACCGATCATTGGTACAATCTCCAACCAAGAGGATAAAGCTCCTTCACAAGAGACAAGCTCATCATCGCAGAGCAAAGGTTTGGAAAATTCTGAGGAATTGTCCATAAACAGGCAAGACGGTGAGGTCACTGTGACTTCCAGTGTTCCATTTACCCGAGTCAGGTCATCAGGGGAGACAACTTCTCAGGTTGTGGACAACAGTGCCATAAAAGCTTGTCTTGCTAGTGGCCCCCAAGTGCTAGCTGTTCAGGCTGGGATAATAGAATCCCAAGATATCAGAAAGAGTTCAATTGCTCAAAAGTTTAGCTCATATACTCTGAAAAAAGCCAGAAGTATGCTGCAATCTGCCTTAGAAACAATGCCTATTGTCAACAACCATCCTCAGCTGCAGCAGGTAAACCAAACACTCTCCACTGGTATGAACAACTGCAACTCGCCGCTGAAAGTCACGACACATCCGTCTAATAGACCCGAGGAACACGGAGATATATTGGACATACTTAAGACTCATCAGAAGGAGGCTACTTCAGAAATAAAAACGCAGGAAGCTTCACTTGTAAACAAAACTGCTGTAGCTGAAAAATCTCGAAGGCAAGGCAGTAATCAGATAGCGAAGAAATCTACAACGAAGAAGCCCATAGTACCAATCACAGGTGTAAGTGAGGAACCAAGTATAAAACAGGAGCCAGCCGATGGTTATACTGGGTATGGTTACAGTGAGCCAGCCAAAGAGGCCACCAACAGTGAAGGCTCCAGCCCCTCTGTTGTGATAGAGAATGTCCAGGGCAATCAGGTGTCATCATCTATCAACCATAACAGTATCAACTTGTTGTCAAGCCAGGTGAACCGACTTCCTACAGTAACGTCCAATCAAAATAGTCTCCTGCCTTCTGTAGCAATGATGAATGCAAATCCTACCCATGTTTTGGGTACACTGGTCCCTTCCAACCCAGGGAGGCCGATAGCTCACACTTTGATGAGCACAACAATCAGTGATGTTACCAGACCTAAGTTTGTGCCTGTGATGGCTGGCTTTGGTCCAGGTAAGGGCCCAAACAGGGTCACCATTCGCCTCTCAAACACCACTGCTGTAACTCCCAGCTCTGTTTCTCTCTCTAGGATGCCTAAACCCCATCGGGCCCCTAGACCTATCCAGCCTAAGGGGTCGGAGATGCCTCAACCCAAGGCAACGACTGTTGCAGTTGCCAACAAAAAGGTGCACACCATCTCCACACCAGCCTTGCTTCAGACTAATGCTACCATCAAGACCACCATACCTCCCCCTATGTCAGTATCTACTATCAATATCGACACGGTCGGCCTTCCACGCATCACTGAACTCATTGCAAGGAAAAATCCCATCCCCAACTACAAGGCACCAACTATACCAGAGAACCTGAAGGGCGTGATAAAGGAGGAAAGCTATCTTTGTTATGAGTGTGGAGACCTATTCTTGATCGAGTCAAGTCTGACACAGCATCGAGGGCGATACAGTATGAAAATAGCCTACAAATGTGATGAATGCAACAAAGAAAAATGTTTCTTCAATAAATGTCAGTTCCTTGGCCATCTTCGTCAGCATCTCAACATCGATAAAAGTCAGGCTGTCCCCATCCATATAAAGTCTGACTCTATCTCAATAGCACCACTCCCTAAGATCTATGAATCGCTTATATTTCAGACATCTGTACCAACAAAAAATGCTGAAGAAAAGAAGAGTCAACAAGACGTTGTCAAAGAGGCACCATCACCAAAAAAGCGTTGTCGGGAGTGTGGTATGCAACTGACAATGGAGGAGAGGACTCGCCACTTCAACACATCCTCCACAAACTGTGACTTCTGGAATTGTTGTAACATCTGTCAGATGATTTTGCCTTCTATCTGTGCACTGAGGGCTCACCGTCGTCTCCACACTGACCCAGACAGCTCCAACTGCCCCGAGTGTGGGGAACAATTCTTCAAAGAAGTCATAACATACAAAGAAAAACCACTTGATTCTAGGAGTGCCTTTATTCAGCACCTAAGGTACCAGTGTTGTCACATCAGTCGTATTGCCCAAATGCAATGCCCTAAGTGTAAGGATATGCTGGAAAGTGGCCCGCAAATAAAAAATCATGTTCTTGCAAAACTTGATCAGTATTACAAATGTCAAATCTGCCCAATGGCCTTCAGAACAGCTGCAGGGTTTGAGCGACACTTCGTTAGTCATAAGAAAGGAAACCCAGTAAAGAAGGACTACAAACGTATATATAAATGCCATATTTGTGACACAGTGCTAGACGATATAACAGTGCTTGAGGTACACATAGCAGGTCACGTGAAGGAACTCAAAAGAGCCTGCACATACGGATTCGTGTGTATAGATTGCCGACAGGTGTTCCCCAGTAAGGAGGACCTGTCTAAGCATATCACGGAGAACCATCCTCGGATAGCTAACAAGACAATCTGTGTCAAGTGTAACAAGTCATTTGGTAATATTTACGAGTGCTTCGTCCATGACCTGGTAATGCATCGCAGCTCTGTGGTCCCGGAATACAGGCCATGTAAGTTGTGTGGCAATGTCATGGAAATTGATGAGTTCCTGTCTCATCCCTGCAACAGGAGGAAGACAAAGGAGAAATATGTGTGCAACTTTTGTGACAAAGAGATCTTGAAAAAGAAGCACCTGACAACACACATGGAGTGGCACAAGACTAACGGAGCTGCAGTGTGTTTAAAGTGCTTTAGGACAGACTTCTCCGACATGACCGAGTTAAAAAATCATGAAGTAATATGTTCTGGTTCTCAGCAAACTCAGGCCAAGCCTACAGAACAATGTGTTGATTGTAAACTAGAATTTTTGGATAAGGGTACACTTGAGAAACATCGAGCACAGAACCATCCCGATTTGTTCCCTTGTCACCTGTGTGGTGATACCTATCAGAGTCAAGATGACCTGAAGAATCATGTGACTGTGAAACACGTTGCTAAGAGAAATGTGTATCCCTGTCATATCTGTAACAGTCGTGGCATTAAGAAAGCATTCTCATCTAACGCTCTTCTAGAGAAGCACCTGTCATGCCGCCACAGACAAGGAAGGAACCCTGTCATGTCCCAGAAATTTATCAAACAAGAGGATGAAGAGTCGTCTGGGGACACGGATCAAGACAAAGAGGAAGTGGATGATTCCAAGCGCAAACATGAGGAAGTAACAAACTCTGACCAGCCATTCAAGAAGCTGAGAGTTGAAGGGGAAACCAGATTCACATGTGCAAAGTGTTCATTGACTTGTGAGGACAGAGCAACATTTCTCAAACACCTGGTAGATCACAAGGTCGAAAACTTTATCCAGTGTATGGAGTGTGGCCTGTCGTTTGCTGTTCTGCCGTCCCTCAGGAAACATCTCTTTATGGTTCATAAGGTCAAGGACTTTAAAATGTATTGCCAAGACAACGACGTTAAGGAGGCGATGGATGTAGATTACGACAGAGAAATCAAGGATATTCCACCTGTGCCGGAAATGGAAGTTGTACACGATAGTGATTCAGTGGAGGAGGAGGACAGTACCAGGAATCCTCTCGAATGCCGTGTCTGTAAACTCGTGCTCGAGTCAGAGGCTGACCTTCGCACTCACACGCGAACACATGGCATGGCTTTTATACGCAACAAACGCAGGAATAAGATGGTTCCGTCGGCGAAGATCAGGCCTCCGGAGATGAATGGTGTTGACACTGATGGAGACTCCTCCTCTCTCAGCTTAGACTAGAAGAGTTGACAAACCATCTCCTGTTTTCTGGCATTACCTACAAAGATTGGGTTTAATATCGTATTTTACAGATGCTCACTAATCACTTCTGGAAGGTAGATGTATTTGATATCTTTTTAATGACTTATGAATCCAGGGAAGACAGCTACACATATTTGTTTTTCTCTCATACCGGAAATCTTGGATTTGTGTTCAATTGATTTCAAAAAGCTACAATTTCCGCACCTATATGAAGTTTAAATGAAACTAGCTAATTACCACATTTTGTCAGAGACAACTTTTATGCTAACGGTCACTTGTTTATCTTGTTTTTTGGGGGGGGGGGTTGTTTTTTTTTAAGACAATTGGGAGAATATATATGTAGCTGTCACAGAGGGGTGTCCTTCTGTCTGTACATAGCGATTTCCGGAGGATAATTTAAGAACAAAATATCATACAAAGTTCAAACATGGAGTGTGTGCTGACCTAGTCGATGCTAATTAGGACCCTAGTAATATTTGGTGTGGTCACCATAGCTAAAAATAATTTTGCTTGGTTGTGGCTTGTCCAGATGAGCACTTACATGATTGCATACATTAGATTTGGTGTGTTGGCTGATGTGATCTAGTGGATGCTTTTTAAGGACCGTATTGAGTTTCGGCATGGTCCACCAGATGTCAAGGTCACCATTGCTAAAAGTATCATTTTTTCTGTTCTGAATGATACCTCGAAAATTTGTTATTGCAACAAAGGTCAAACTTGATGCATGGATATATAGCCCTTTTGGATGAAAAGAACCCTATTGATTTTGGGCTGTCTTGCCAGAGGTAACCATTGCTAAAAGTTAAATGTTCTTTGGTTGTGCTTGTCAATATGATAACTTAAGAATGAATGACCTTAGAAAGATTGGACAAAATTTACATTTCATATGAAGAGAATAGGTAGCATGTCTACATATGAGTTTCCTGTCCTTCTGGAACACAAATCCATGACGAGTCGATGGCAAATCCTACATATGACTTTTTTTGGGATATGTTGTCCCCGGCTTCTTTCATGCTTCTATGAAGAATTTTCTTCTGGAGAGGGGGCTTGTGAGTTTTGTTTCTTTGCAATAATGTAGGCTTTTTGGCTTTGTACATTGTATGATATTAATGGGACCACATATAAATGACCAAAGGGGTAATAACATGATACAGGACTTTACTAATTATGCATAATTGTTATGATAGGACATAATGTTGATCTTGTGTATGTGGCTTACTTATTGCTGTGGCTTGTGGTGTTCAGGTTTGTGAGGTGTATAAGCACTGCCAAATGACTACACTGAGTTGTCAGGTGTACAACTGTTTATAAACCAAGTTCCCAAACATGATGTCTATATAGGAATGTTATTTTCGCAAGGACAGCTTCAGCAAAAGGGAAAAATTTTGATATGACTTTTCATATGAATTTAAGTTGTAAATTGGCTTTAGTGTATATTACGTTGCATGGCCATATTGCTACAGTCCCCTACATCTTTGAAATTTGCAATGTTCCAACTTTTTGTGGGGTAAGCAATTTCAATCTCTCGTTACTTTTTGATAAGATTTTCAAATGTATAGGTCTTGTACATTATTGGACTCAGACATTTATTAACACGTCATTACAAGGACGTGTTTAGATGAATTCAGTTTGTTTGTAGCGGGACTGGGATGGTCGATCGGCGGCAACCAGGTATCTTAATTGATTCCAGTGTCAAGAGTTCAGAAGTCCCAGGTTTGAATCCCAGTCTGGCCTTGCCATTTTCTCTCTCCTATAAAATAGACATATATTTCATGTGAATGTTGAACGAGTTGTGTATAAACTCCTATAAAATAGATATACATTTCATGTTAATGTTGAACGAGTTGTGTATAAACTCTTTTAACTTGCAAACATTTATTAGCTCACCTGGCACGAAGTGCCAAGTGAGCTTATGCCGTGGCGCGGCGTCCGTCGTCCGTCCGTCCTCGTCCGTCAACTTTTCCTTTAAACAACTTCTTCTGAAGAACGGACAGGCCTAGAGTCATGATATTTGGCTGAAAGCTTCGTTGGTAGGAGCCCTACAAAGTTTGAGAACGAAAATGACCTTGACCTGTTTTCAAGGTCACAGGGGTCAAATATGTCAAAAACTTCAAACGACTTCTTCTGAAGAACTAAAAGGTATAGAATCTTCATATTTGGCTGATGGCTTCCTGGGATAGAGCCCAACAAAGTTTGAGAATGAAAATGACCTTGACCTACTTTCAAGGTCACAGGGGTCAAATGTGTCAAACACTTCAAACGACTTCTTCTGAAGAACTGAAAGGTATAGAATCTTTATTTTTGATTGATGGCTTCCTTGGATAGAGCCCGACAAAGTTTGAGAATGAAAATGACCTTGATCTTCTTTCAAGGTTACGAGTCAAATGTGTCGGACACTTCAAACGACTTCTTCTGAAGAACTGAAAGGTATATTATCTCTATATTTGGCTTGTAGCTTCCTAGGAAAGAGCCAAACAAAGTTTGAGAATGAAAATGACCTTGACCTTCTTTAAAGGTCACATGAGGCAGATATGTCAAACACTTTAAACGACTTCTTCTGAAGAACTGGTAGTTATAAAATCTTAATATTTGGCAGGTGGCTTCCTGGGAAAGAGCCAAACAAAGTTTGCGAATGAAAATGACCTTGACCTACTTTCAAGGTCACAGCGTTCAAATATGTCAAACAGTCCAAACAGCTTCTTCAGAAGAATTAAAAGGTATAAAATTATAATATTTGGCTAGTGACTTCCCGGGATAGAGGTCACCAAAGTTTGCAAATGAAAATGACCTCAACCTACTTTAGAGGTCACAGAGGTCAACAACATTTTAATGGATTTGTTCTTGAGAACTAAAAGGAATGGATTCATAAGATTTGGCTGGTAGCTTTTTGGAATAGAGCTAACCAATTTGAGAAGGAAAATGACATTGACCTACTTACAAGATCACAGGGAAAAAAATGTCAGCAACTTCTGAAGAAGAATAAAAAAGCATAGAATCTTATAATAATATTTTGCTGGTAGTTTCGACAGATGGAGCCAACAAAGTTTGCGAGGGAAATATTTTTAGTGCAATATAATATTTAATGAGAATATTTTGCTATGACTGCTTAAATATTCAGGTGAGCGATACAGGCCCTCTTGGGCCTCTTGTTTGCTGTAGTACAGTGACATAGTAATGAATCTAGGTATCGCGTAAACTGTAGGTGTAGGTAAAGCACATGTCTAGGTAAACCATAGGCGTAGACGAATTGTACCTACATGTCATCGGTACACATTCTTTATATATATACAAAAGGTTTTCTTATATTGTCATGTTTCAATCAATTTTAAGCCCATATTCAGCGAGTATCACTGACAGGATACAATGTACTCATGCGCGTGTGTGTGTGTGTGTACATGATGATAAGGTGACTAATGAATGAAGCTGTAAGTACCATTTCAAATCATGCCCACTAAATTAATGATAACATTTGTTGGATGGAAATTAGGGTAAAAGGTTGTTATTTTCATACAAAGTCAAAGATTTATATTTTTGTAAAAAAAATGAGTTGGTTGTAAAATAATACATAAGACTGAAGTTTGAGTTTACCTGTAATAGATGTAATGCATCTGTTGTGTGTTAACAATGTAGTGTGGAAACATGTTGTGGATAAACTGTCCTATGTAATCTTGGGAATTAACACAATTTTTCTTTGTACAACAATGTCGCAATACAAATATGATTACTAGTTTATAGATATGAATTGTAATTTGTGTCAGACAAGCAAACTTGTATTGTTCAGGTTTTGTTCCTGTTACTTCAATACAGCTGAAGATAATTTTTGTGAAACTTTAACACACGTTCAGTAAGTAGTGCAGGTCTGTCTTTATTTCATCACTCTTCATGGTCACAGCAACTACAGGTGTATCATGTCATTGAGTTTTACTATAATACTTCCTCTGTACATGTGCACGTGAATGTATATAAAGGAAGAAGGTTCTTACATATTTTCATATTGTAATCATGACAATCAACCAGATATGTAGGCTAACTATGCAAATATAATTTTTACAGCAATCCCTCCCCCTGCCTCAATAATGTTAGTTTATCATGATGCTGTCAAAATTTCAGTAATCATTGAATAACATTTGTTAAGGAAAGTAACCAAAGTCAGTGCAGCAGAAACAGGTACATTTTGGCCGTGCTTATTAGCTCACCTGGCACGAAGTAATGAGAATGAAAATGACCTTGACCTACTTTCAAGGTCACAGGGGTCAAATGTGTCAAACACTTCAAACGACTTCTTCTGAAGAACTGAAAGGTATAGAATCTCTATATTTGGCTGGTGGCTTCCTGGGATAGAGACCAACAAAGTTTGAGTAGGAAAATTAGTTTGACCTACTTTCAAGGTCACAGGGGTCAAATATGTCAAAAACTTCAAACGACTTCTTCTGAAGAACTGAAAGGTATAGAATCTCTATATTTGGCTGGTGGCTTCCTGGGATAGAGACCAACAAAGTTTTAGTAGGAAAATTAGTTTGACCTACTTTCAAGGTCACAGGGGTCAAATATGTCAAAAACTTCGAACGACTTCTTCTGAAGAATTAAAAGGTATAGAATCCTCATATTTGGATGATGGCTTCCTTGGATGGAGCCCAACAAAGTTTGAGAATGAAAATTACCTTGACCTTCTTTCAAGGTCACAGTGGTCAAATGTGTCAAACCCTTCAAATGACTTCTTCTGAAGAACTGAAAGGTATAGAATCTCTATATTTGGCTGGGGGCTTCCTGGGATAGAGACCAACAAAGTTTGAGAATGAAAATTAGTTTGACCTACTTTCTAGGTCACAGGGGTCAAATATGTCAAAAACTTCAAACGACTTCTTCTGAAGAACTGAAAGGTATAGAATCTCTATATTTGACTGGTGGCTTCCTGGGATAGAGACCAACAAAGTTTGAGTAGGAAAATTAGATTGACCTACTTTCAAGGTCACAGGGGTCAAATGTGTCAAACACTTCAAACGACTTCTTCTGAAGAACTGAAAGGTATAGAATCTCTATATTTGGCTGGTGGCTTCCTGGGATAGAGACTCTTTAAAGGTCACATGAGGCAGATATGTCAAACACTTTAAACGACTTCTTCTGAAGAACTGGTAGTTATAAAATCTTAATATTTGGCAGGTGGCTTCCTGGGAAAGAGCCAAACAAAGTTTGCGAATGAAAATGACCTTGACCTACTTTCAAGGTCACAGCGTTCAAATATGTCAAACAGTTCAAACAGCTTCTTCTGAAGAATTGAAAGGCATAAAATTATAATATTTGGCTGGTGACTTCCGGGGATAGAGCTCACCTAAGTTTGCAAATAAAAATGACCTCAACCTACTTTAGAGGTTACAGAGGTCAACAACATTTTAATGGATTTCTTCTTGAGAACTAAAAGGAATGGATTCATAAGATTTGGCTGGTAGCTTTTTGGAATAGAGCTAACCAATTTGAGAAGGGAAATGACATTGACCTACTTACAAGATCACAGGGAAAAATATGTCAGCAACTTCTGAAGAAGAATCAAAAAGCATAGAATCTTATAATAATATTTTGCTGGTAGTTTCAACAGATGGAGCCAACAAAGTTTGCAAGGGAAATATTTTTAGTGCAATATAATATTTACTGAGAATATATTGCTATGACTGCTTAACTATTCAGGTGAGCGATACAGGCCCTCTTGGGCCTCTTGTTTGTTATTACATTTGTACATAAATGCAGATATACAAAGTTCATTGTGTTTTATGTTTTGTTGTTAGAAAGTATTGTTGATGTACGGAATGCAAGAAATAAATCATGATTCAATTGTTACTTCCACAGTGTAAAGATTCTATTTCTCATGAAATCATAACAGATCTTTGGAACTTTGGAATTTCGGCAAGGTAACAGAGGTCAAAGTCAAAGGTCGTGGTAACTAAAGGTTGTGTAACATGCTGGAGTTACAGAGGAATAAGGTCACAGGTCAATAACCAAGATCAAGGATACAAAAACTAGAAAATGGCTAAGACATAAATGCCCCCACTGCCATGTGAAATTAGTTTCAGTGTTCTATAAAAAGTTACAACCACTTTGATCTTGATACCCTGAAACACAAGGTACTACACTTAAAGTTGATTTTAATATTCATATGTTTTTTCTGTATGTTATTACCATCTCCATAACATATTGAATGAAGTTGCCAAGTGTTTAAACTGAATCGGTAGATGATTTTCTATATATAACAACAGTGACCTTGGCCTTGAACTTGGAACCCTGAAACACAACAATGTCCGAAGTATACTCATACTTGACCTTTGCATAAAGTTTGACCAAAATCCATGAAAGAATGAAGTTGCTATGTGTTTAAATTGAATCAGTTGATGATTTTCTATATATAGCAAGTGTGGCCTTGGCCTTGACCTTGGATCCCTGAAATACAACGATGTCGGAAGTATACCCATACATGACCTTTGTATAAAGTTTGACCAAAATCTGTCAAAGAATGAAGTTGGTAAGTGTTTACATTGAATCGGGACGGGGCGGGACAGACATGGGTAACACTATATGCCCCCCCCCCCCAATTTTATGGCGGGGGCATAAAAAGCATGGCACATTGGACCAGATGACTTCTTGTATTGTTTCCAGAGATTTGTCATTCATGTTTATACATGTATACTGGACGAAGGTGATACTCAAGCGTATGGCACTGTAGCACACCATCTCTGGTGATTTGTCCCAATATCTATAACCACAACAAACAGGGCAACCCTTGGCTTGGTACGATAAAGTGGAATTTTTATTACCGATATTTTGTCCTTGTGCCGACATGTGTTGAGGCCTCTATAAAATAAAAATTATTTTCAGAATTAAGAAAAACATGGAAAGTGCATTCATAGCAAGTGTTTTGAGCTGTATATACGGTATGCGCATTTTGTTAATGAAGGATACAAAATTGTCCTATAAATATACCCACTAATGCATTGTAAAGTTGCTCAGCGTAACATAATGTAAGAGTGTGTAGTATTATTCTGAGTTAAAACTTCGGGTAAAAAACAAAACATTCACCGGTACCTCACTTTAATTTCTAGACAGTCAATTCCTGAACTTATTTACTCTAAAATTCCATTTATCTTAAAAATGCAATATTCCCGATGTCCGGAACCGGATGTGTCTAGACTTAAAAAAGTTTAAATATAATTGTCTCTTGACTTATGTATCTGATAAAAACCATAGAATTGTGCAATATTAATTTTGTGTCATTATGATTATTTGTTAAATTCATTTCCTATTTTTAAACATTCTTAACATTTTAAAATGAACTTCTAAACAATTAAAATACATAACTGTCAACAATTTAAAAATGCTGACAAAAATGCTTGAACGTCAACATTTTCCCTCAAAAGAAAATGTCCAGAATGTCTTAAAAATCAATTTTCAAAACTGAAAATCTATAACAGATACCTACTGGTTCAGATTTTTAAACTGTTTGTTTATTATTGTTTGGTGTTCATGTTTGTGTAAACAATGTTTTTTAAAGAAGAAAAAAGCTCAATAAAATGTGGAATTTCCTTAAGGTGTGGTTTAACTTTATTTTTTCTTTTGCAAGTTATGAAATAATTTAGTTTTTCCAACACAATGAATAATCATTGGGCTGGATGGAAGCATGCAGAGTCTGAATATGGTACGTAGGAAACTGGAGAATCTAGAGAAAACCTACATCATCAGGCTTCTGGCCCCGATACCTTTTAACATCCTATCAAGGAATGCAAGTGAGCTATCCACTGAGCCACACAACCAACCTCTTTGTTAACTGAAACAAGTTGACCATGTGACCTTGAAGGTAATATAAGTCCAGGTCATTCATTTGAACAAACATGTGTCCTTTATTTCAGCATGATTTTGTTCATATTCAGAAGTTGTCTGAAAGATTTTCAAAAATTTGACTCTTGTGAAACTTGGAAGGTCAAGGACATTCATATGAACTTGCATTATTAGTAGTCTTTCATCCTAACGTGCTACTGGGCAAATATCATCACCCTTGGCATTATGGTTATTTTAAAGTCAAATAAATGAAGCGAAATCTATGCTGCAACAGGGCCTGTATCGCTCACCTGGATATCTAAGCAATCATGGCAGAATATTCTCCAAATGAGATCCATGGGAATATGCCAGACCCCAAGGCCAATCCTTGTAGCATATATATCTGTATTCGATTTTTCATGCCCAGCAATTTTATGTATGGTTATGGGGCGGGGATCTCAACTGTTTCCAATCTGTGACTCAGAAACTAGGTCCCTATGGTTGTGGCCAGACCCGAGGATCAATTCTAATATCATGACTGCATTTGTCTCTTTTTGCCCAGCATTTGTATACATAGTTTTGGGGTGGGGATCTGAACATTTTCAAAGTTATGACCCAGGGGTTAAGTCTGCAAGGGTGGGGCAAACCCTGGGGTCAATTCTAATATCATGACTGCATTTGTCTCTTTATGCCCAACAATTGTATATATAGTTTTGGGGTGGGGATCTTAACCATTTCGAAGTTATGACCCAGGGGTTAAGTCTCCAAGGGTGGGGCAGTCCCCAAGGCCATCCTGGAAGCATATGTGCATTCATCTCTTTATACTCAGCAATTGTCTATATGGTTATAGGTCGGGGATCTCAACTGTTTCCAAGCTGTGACTAAGAAACTAGGTCCCTAGGGGTTCGGTCAGACCCCAGGGTCTATTCTAATATCATGACTGCATTCGTCTCTTTATGCCCAGCATTTGTATATATAGTTTTGGGGTGGGGATCTCAACCGTTTTTAAGTTATGGCCCAAGGACTATGTTTCCAAGGGTGGGGCCAGACCCTAGGGCCATCCCGGAAGCAAATGTGCATTCTTCTCTTTATACTCAGCAATTGTATATGTGGTTATATGGTGGGGATCTCAACCATTTCCAGGCAATAAACTTTTTTTGGCCCCACCCCTTAGCCTGGGGGGTCAGCCCCACCATTTGTACAATTTTGAATCCCTGCCTCCCATGAATGCTTCCGACCAAATATGATCGATATCCAGTGCATAGTTCTACAGAAGAAGTCGTTTATAGCAATCTAGCCAAATTGCCCCCTTTTGGCCCCGCCCTCAGCCCTCTGGGGGTCAGCCCCACCATTTGTACAATTTTGAATCCCCACCACCTAGGGATGCTTCCAGTCTAATATGGTTGATATCCATCACTTAGTTCCAGAGAAGAAGTCGCTTAAAGCAATATAGCCAAATAACCCTTTTTGGCCCCGCCCCTCAGCCCCCTGGGGGGTCAGCCCCACCATTTGTACAATTTTGAATCCCCACCACCTAGGGATGCTTCCAGTCTAATATGGTTGATATCCATCACTTAGTTCCAGAGAAGAAGTCGCTTAAAGCAATATAGCCAAATAACCCTTTTTGGCCCCGCCCCTCAGCCCCCTGGGGGGTCAGCCCCACCATTTGTACAATTTTGAATCCCTGCATCCCATGAATGCTTTTGATTAAATATGATCGATATCCAGTGCATAGTTCTACAGAAGAAGTCGTTTGTAGAAATATAGCCAAATTACCCCTTTTTGGCCCCGCCCCTCAGCCCCCTGGGGGGTCAGCCCAACCATTTGTACAATTTTGAATCTCCACAACCTAGGGATGCTTCCAGTCTAATATGGTTGATATCCATCGCTTAAAGCAGTTTAGCCAAATTGCCCCCTTTTTTCCCCACCCCTCAGCCCCCTGGGGGGTCAGCCCCACCATTTGTACAATTTTGAATCTCCACCACCTAGGGATGCTTCCAGTCAAATTTAGTTAAATTCCAATCAGTGGTTAAGAAGAAGAAGTCGTTTAAAGAAATTGTTGACGGACGGACGACGGACTGACGGACGCCACGGGATGGCATAAGCTCACCTTGGTCCTTTGGACCAGGTGAGCTAATAAGAGTTATGGGTTCAGAACTTCAAAATATCTATCTTGAATCACATCTATTTAAACTTCTGTAGACCAGATCTGTCACAGTTGAATCACATCTATTTAAACTTATGTAGACCAGACCTGTCACAGTTTAATAAACAGAACCTATACATGTATTACATTGTGAATCATTGGTATTGAAGCTTTTATAAGCTTTACCGGTGAGAACTGTATGAAGAGAACACAAACATGTACTGCAATAAATATCTGTTTATTGACATGGGTAACAACGTATAAAGTCAATTGCATCAGAGAGATGGTAACCTTCCATGTTGGTCCAACTCTTCAATATTAATGTAAAACCTATTGATACCTACTAGTGTGTCGGGACACCATATAGACACATTTTCTCAACACACATACAGATAGAGCAGAAACTACTCCCGACACCCATGGGACAAGTTTATAGTTTACATACAAGGTGTCGGACTACACAGGTAAGCACTGGACAAATTATACAGGGGTTTAAAATAAAGCTCAAATAAATGTTGTCTAGATTTGAACACACAGGTTATAACTCATGGGGTTTGAATACATGTTTAAAATGTGTAGTAACACACTAAGAATATAACATGTCAGATCTCAGAAAAAGGTCAATAGAGAGTTTTCCTGTCATCTTCAGAACAAAATATTCCATCATGCCTAAAAATTACCCTATTCATTTTCAGCAGAAACTGGAAAATATCTCTGTTTGATACTTCAGTACAAGTATGTCAGCCTTTTTGGCAGTTACAAAGCAATAATGGAATCAAATCAATCCTATATAAAATGTAATCAGCACAGCTCACCTCGTTCAATTCACAACCATTTATGGCATATTTTGTAAATCTTGAATTTTGCAAGTTTTCCTTATTATGAACAACTTTTTGGCAAATGCAGATAATCAAACTTTCAATTATTGGTTATTTTGCAGGGTCCTATTTTTTGGCAGAAATACCACATGCAAAATTGATAGCTATTTCATTTATATATCAAAAATAGTTGGAACACGTTTCTTACAACAGTACTGGCTTTTATAGGCATTACTGGAAGTAGTAACTCCCTAATGATAAATATAAAATCACACATGACAACCTTTACATAAACACAGACAAATTAAACACATGATCAAACAACAATGTCTTGTATCTTATCAACAAATAAAGATCGGTACTTATAACACAGTGATCAATACCCAATCACTCTGTAATACTTGTAGCATAATAAAACAGAAACATAAGGCACTTGTTTTTATTGACTTCACCAGTGAACAGGAGAACCTGCCTGAACTGACTATTGTATCGTAGTGGGATAATTTGTGAACAATCAAGTTGTGGGGAGACAAATGTTCATTATAAATAATGAACAGACAACCACATATTGTGCTTGGTAAAGGCTTATATATCAATTTTAAAATTATTAAAAAAGCTGTACCCTACACAGTAATAGGGATTAACCAGTAATGAATACACATGATTTCCAGGTGTGACATCAGACAATGAGTCGGATAACTGCTAGAAATTTCCTGGTACATTTATATCAATCTGTCTAGTTTTAAAATACAGTGTACAGTTTTTACAGCAATCTGCTGATAGTTGATGTTTCATGACAAGGTAGATATATTTTACTCTCAATTGTTAGTTCATCATACACAGGTGTATACCAGAGTGTACACTATAGACAGCTTGCACTTTAGCAATCTGAGTTCAATGTCTACAGTTTACTCACAAGTGTCCATATAGACAGGTTTTACTCTCACAATCTGAGTCCAATGTCTACAGTTTATACTCACAAGTGTCAAATGTAGACAGGTTTTATTCTCACAATCAGTCCAATGTCTACAGTTTACTCACAAGTGTCCATATAGACAGGTTTTACTACCACATTCAGCCCAATGTCTACAGTTTACTCACAAGTGTCCATATACACAGGTTTTACTCTCACAATCAGTCCAATGTCTACAGTTTATACTCATGAGTGTCAAATATAGACAGGTTTGACTCTCACAATCTGAGTCTAATGTCTACAGTTTACTCACAAGTGTCCATATAGACAGGTTTTACTCTCACAATCAGTCCAATGTCTACGGTTTACTCACAAGTGTCCATATAGACAGGTTTTACTCTCACAATCAGTCCAATGTCTACGGTTTACTCACAAGTGTCCATATAGACAGGTTTTACTCTCACAATCAGTCCAACGTCTACAGTTTACTCACAAGTGTCCATACAGACAGGTTTTACTCTCACAATCAGTCCAATGTCTACAATTTATACTCACAAGTGTCAAATATAGACAGGTTTTACTCTCACAATCTGAGTCCAATGTCTACAGTTTATACTCACAAGTGTCCATACAGACATCTTTAACTATCACAGGCTAGGTTCATTTCACAGGTTTATACTCACAATGTTCCATTATAGACAAGTTTTAAGGTCAAAGGTTAGATTAATCACATACAAGTTTATACTCACAAGTGTCCAATACAGACAGATTTAAAGGTCAAAGGTTAAATCCATCACAAATTCATACTAAAAAATGTCCACTATAGACTATGTTTTTTACAATGTGTCCATTTAGACGAGTTTTTCACAGTGTAAAAAGTTCAGAGGTTGTCTGTTACAGATGCCTGTTTATTGATTACACATCAGTAAAACCTGTCTATACAGTCATGTGTAGGGGTAAACAAAAGCTGTCGGTACTGTCAAATGAAAAACCTGTCTATTTCCGACAAAAAACGTGAGCTATCATTTTCATCTTAAACTGTATTTGCAGATTTGTTTCTTAATTTTTCTGTTTATTTTGTATTCAAAATGTTCGTTATCACCACATGAAGGAAATACAGAAAACCTCTCTAGTACAGACAGATGAGCTCTCTAGTACAGACAGATGACCTCTCTAGTCAAGACAGATGAGCTCTCTAGTACAGACAGATGACCTCTAGTACAGACAGATGACCTCTCTAGTACAGACAGATGACCTCTCTAGTCAAGACAGATGAGCTCTCTAGTACAGACAGATGACCTCTCTAGTACAGACAGAGGAGCTCTCTAGTACAGACAGATGACCTCTCTAGTACTGACATATGACCTCTCTAGTCAAGACAGATGAGCTCTCTAGTACAGACAGATGGCCTCTCTAGTACAGACAGATGACCTCTAGTACAGACAGATGAGCTCTCTAGGACAGACAGATGACCTCTCTAGTACAGACATATGACCTCTCTAGAACAGGCAGATGACCTCTCTAGTACAGACAGATGATCTCTCTAGTACAGACAGATGAGCTCTCTTGTACAGACAGATGACCTCTCTAGTACAGACATATGACCTCTCTAGAACAGGCAGATGACCTCTCTAGTACAGACAGATGACTCTAGTACAGACAGATGAGCTCTCTAGGACAGACATTCTGAAGGTGGCAAACTAGCATATACAACGCATGCACCTTTTATAATCAGACACAGATGAGCTCTCTAGTACAGACAGATGGCCTCTCTAGTACAGACAGATGACCTCTCTAGTACAGACATATGACCTCTCTAGTACAGACAGATGAGCGCTCTAGTACAGACATTCTGAAGGTGGCAAACTAGTAGATACAACGCATGCACCTTTTATAATCAGACACAGATGAGCTCTCTAGTACAGACAGATTAGCTCTCTAGTACAGACAGATGACCTCTCTAGTCAAGACAGATGAGCTCTCTAGTACAGACATTCTGAAGGTGGCAAACTAGTATATACAACGCATGCACCTTTTATAATCAGACAAGTTACTTTAAGTGATTTATGCACAAAACAAATAGAACTAGAACATGTTAAGTACAAAATGTGTTGCCCTTGTAAATTGCAATGTACAAAAGTTAATATTTTGAAAAGAATGATAGAAACTTATGCAAATAAGATTTCAGATCTATAATAAAATTCATACAACCCCTTCATGTAGATATGTAGATATGTATATACACTTAAAATATATTTAAGTAACTGTAATGTAAATATTTAAATGAAAATAAAATTATAGAATGAATGCTCACACAGATGAAAGATAAACACTCGAAAACACTTAAAAGATGAGTTGATTGGAAATTCAGTGGACGGCAATGTCTGAGCACTAACATGGTGATCACCTTGACAACCAATAGATGGCCTTGACCTCTAAACTACTACAAGGTCATCATATACAAAGTGGAATTCATTTGGTCCCATTAAGAAGCAGTTTGGTCTAGCAATAAAGCTTTGAGATTAATTTATATACTTGGAAACAATGTATTTTTCCGTAATGGAAATACCAGTATGTGTCTGTATGACATAAATAAGTTTTCTGATATCAAATTTATCAAAAACACATGAAGGCATCATAATATTATGGAATGTTTGTTTCGTATTTCAGTATATATTAATGGAATGGCAGACAAAAGTCCGGGAAAACAGAGGGTATATAAATATACAAAGGTTAAGAGGACATAGAAATACACAAAACATTCACACTTGTTAACGTACAGGAATACCACTAGTACATTGTAATCTGAATCGTACATTATTTGTAAGACATATCAATTTTACATTTTCACACTCACATCTTTGAAAATAAAAAATTATCAACCATGAGTATGTATTTATTTTTGTACAGAGTTTTCTATTTCATATTCTGTGTATAAATGGATATTGTATCATTATTCATTTCTATTTCCTAATACTTTTCTTAAAATACACATGTGTAACAGGAGAGCATAATGTCCCTTCAGCTCTTTTCCTAGAACGATGGACTTGGAAGCTAGAGGTCACAGGTTAGATCCCCGGGGGACAGATAAGCTAGAGGTCAATGGTTTGATCCCTGGTGGACTGGGTATCTAGAGATCAATGGTTTGATCCCTGGTGGACTGGGAGGCTAGGGGTCACTGGTTTGATCCCTGGGGGACAGGAAATCTAGAGGTCAATGGTTTGATCCCTGGGGACAGGGAAGCTAGAAGTCAATGGTTTGATCCCTGGGGGACCGGGAACCTAGAGGTCAATGGTTTGATCCCTGGTGGACTGGGTAGCTAGAGGTCACTGGTTTGATCCCTGGGGGACAGGTAAGCTAGAGGTAATTGGTTTGATCCCTGGGGGACAAAGAAGCTAGAGGTCAATGGTTTGATCCCTGGGGGACAGGGAACCTAGAGGTCAATGGTTTGATCCCTGGTGGACTGGGTAGCTAGGGGTCACTGGTTTGATCCCTGGGGGACAGGGTAGCTAGGGTCACTGGTTTGATCCCTGATGGACTGGGAAGCTAGAGGTCAATGGTTTGATCCCTGGGGGACAGGGAAGCTAGAGGTCAATGGTTTGATCCCTGGTGGAATGGGAGGCTAGGGGTCACTGGTTTAATCCCTGGGGGACAGGAAAGCTAGAGGTCAATGGTTTGATCCCTGGGGGACAGGGAAGCTAGAGGTCAATGGTTTGATCCCTGGGGGACAGGGAAGCTAGATGTCAATGGTTTCATCCCTGGGGTACAGGGAAGCTAGATGTCAATGGTTTGATCCCTGGGAACAGGGAAGCTAGAGGTCAATGGTTAGATCCCTGGGGTACAGGGAAGCTAGAGGTCAATGGTTAGATCCCTGGGAACAGGGAAGCTAGATGTCAATGGTTTGATCCCTGGGGTACAGGGAAGCTAGAGGTCAATGGTTTGATCCCTGGGGTACAGGGAAGCTAGATGTCAACGGTTTGATCCCTGGGGTACAGGGAAGCTAGAGGTCAAAGGTTAGATCCCTGGGGGACAGAGAAGCTAGAGGTCAATGGTTTGATCCCTGGGAACAGGGAAGCTAGATGTCAATGGTTTGATCCCTGGGGGACAGGGTAGCTAGGGTCACTGGTTTGATCCCTGGGGTACAGGGAAGCTAGAGGTCAATGGTTTGATCCTAGGGAACAGGGAAGCTAGATGTCAATGGTTTGATCCCTGGGGTACAGGGAAGCTAGAGGTCAATGGTTTGATCCCTGGGAACAGGGAAGCTAGATGTCAATGGTTTGATCCCTGAGGACAGGGAAAATAGGGGTCAATAATTTGATCCCTGGAAACAGTGAAGCTAGGGGCCACAATCACACACTGATTTGGTGAATTACAATTATGTCATTTTCAAAACTTGTAAACAATGTCACATGTGATGAGTTTTGAACATTTGTGTAGATAAATGCACAAACTTGAATCTGACCAGTAATGAAGTCACTATTTTAATTTGGGGAAAATGTTGAGGGAGGAACAAATTTAAAAGTGTTAATTAATATTTTTAACTTTGGCATTAAAGAAAGCTAAAGCAGTAGACAGATCTGTAAGATATAGATATCTAATACAGGCAACGTTTCAAACCTTTTTTGTTCATAAAGGACAAATATTTGGTGGTTTATTGGGCAAAATAACTATACAGAGCTGTCAAATGAAATTATGTACATGAGCATTACTTCTATCACAGTGCATTTGGCAAGACAAAATGCATAGTCGTCTGGTGACATGGTCTTAGACCGGGTTATAATTCCTGATAACGTTGTCAGGTCATATACAAAACTCAATTAAATTTCCAATTAAACCAAAGAAATATTCATACATATTGCATAGCTGTTAGATGTTATATCAAATGAAATACACACAAGAAAAAAATCCTAAGATAATCTATACTTCTTTTCAACATTTCATATCTGATGTACTTACTTCCCTTGTATATGATAACACAAACATTTTACCAGAGGTATGTTAAAACACGTGGACTATGTAGTGGACACCTGTCGACAGGCTGTATTTTCGACATGCTGTATTTTCGACATGCTGTATTTTCGACAGTACTTCATATACAACGAGTCTGTACTTCCAATGGAAGGCTTACGTAAAATTAATTTGAAAATTGATCAGAGACAAAGCCTGAGGACATGATCAGCTGACAGCGAGGGTGTTTATACAGAACCTATAGGAACTAACTGCTCCTCAAAAGGTTTTACGTCTGATATCTTCTAATCACACTTTTTTCCTCTTTTGTCCATTTTAAATGAAAAACAAGAGGAAATATGACGTGTTTCAGACACTAAGACGCCTCAGATCCAAGTTGCACTCAAATCTCCGTCCACAGATCACGATTATGACCAGGGTCTAACACTGTCCGAGGTATCACACTCTTGTCAATCATGTTCTGTGTGGTCATGCCCCGGTTAACACGTGCATCACCCACACGGTTGGTTGCCCTTGAGTAACTCGCATACTGTACAGATTTGTCAGGAGAATGATTATAGTTGTAATTTTGAGAGTTTTGTGAACTTATCTGAAATATAAAGAATTTACAAAATTTTATTAACTTGGAAAACTTCATATACTGATATCAGTCAAGACAAAAGAAAACTTTAATATTTTTGGACCATTTACCTTCTGTTAGGAGGTCAAAGTGGCCGACTTACAACAAACTTTAATTGTAAATACAAGTATTCAACAAACTTCATCAAGATATTATCTTTAAATGTTTAAAGAATTATGCTTTGCACAAACTGTTTTTAAAATTGGAAAAATACAAGTGGTACAAAATAATGTTTCCCTTCATTTGGAAGGGAGACAACTTGCTAGAGAGGATTCTTGTTTTCAATACAAGGAGAGTACTCACATTTTGGGAGAGTGGGGTGAGGATGTTCTGGTTTCGCCCCGTAGACATGCCTACTGACGACACACCACCAGTGGACACCCCCTTACTGGGTGGGGTGTCTTGGTTGTAGAGCCGGCGTATACCGTCCTGTGTGGCATACAAGCGCTTGTCTGGAGGAGTGCTGTACAGCTTCTTGATGCTGTCACTGGTGACAAACGACCGGCTGTTTCCCGCAGGAGAGTTCTGAACACTGACTGGGGGGTGGGGCAAGGGGCGGTCCTGAACACTGGAATATCCCACTCTACCCCTTGTGGGAGTTGTATTATTTGTAGAGGTTGATACTGCCTGGTTGTGTACTGTACCATTCATCTTTGGAGCACTATGAGGACTAGCGTTCTGTCTTCCCTGATTAGGTGAGTCATAGTTCATTCCTCTGTTGCTCCTTGAGTCAGAGATCATACCTGGTTGTCCCTGAGGACCAGGGTTTATTCTTCCCTGGGGCCTGGGGCCAGAGTTCGTTGGGGCCTGTTCCCTGGTGTCGGGGGTCATTCTTGACTGGCTCCTAGGAGCCGAGCTCACCCTTATCTGATTCCTGGGATCTACCCTTGTTGGAGTGTAGGTACTGGTGTGGTCCCTCTGAGGCAGAGGGGGCGGGCCTCTCGCCTGTCTGGAAACAACAACCCGACGAAGTGGTTATATATTTATAATACTGGAGTGACACAATAATACACACTGAGCACAGACACACAATAATACACACTGAGCACAGAAACAACACACACGTGACATCAACAATAGAATATATCTACACATTTACCTGTAGGGGAGACTACCCTGGTCAGTGTTGATCAGCGATGTATAATCAAATAATTATACATATATAATCTAACCATAACCTAGGACCTCGTCACATCAGTACCATTGTAACTCTTGCTTTGAACATGAAAATAAGACACTGTCTATTGAGACGGTTACAATGTTAATTGTCCTGGGTTTATAGTTTGTGATCTACAACAGTGACTTTGGTGATAGTACTCTCGTTACTTAGTCTTTTCCTGTGTTGTATTGAAGTCAAGTTGATCTTTATTTGATCACAACACAAGCCAAATGATAACAGAAAATGCTGAAACTGTTGCAGTTACTAATGATATAATGTAGATGACCCGACTACTGATATTCTGTGTATACCAGATGGGCTGCCCTTCCTCCAGTATGTGCACCTAAGTATGTGTTCTCTGAGTAAGTCTTGTTAAACAGTGATAGCATGCATGTTTACTATTCAATCAATACTAGCCTTAGTATAGAGTTTCAGATGGTTGAGTTGTTTTCATCAATTACAGTGTACTATACTGTATAAAATGTCCAGGATGCTGGGACACCACTAATGCATGGTCAGTATAATGCCTTGGAGTCAGATTTAAAAATCATATATTAAATCATACTGTATAAAGTTACGAGTTATACACTTGTAAGCTGTACTACTAGTTTATCTGTAACCACGGAAACTGAATGTAAATACACAGCCAAAGTTTCATGTTATACTAAAGTCAATAAGCAGAAAATGTATACCTGGGTACTTTATATTGTCTCAAAAACTTCTTTTTCTAGTTCTCCAAATGTTGGTACAATGTATTAAGTACCCGTTAATTTCTGAACTCACATGGCACTTTATAGTCACTATATAACACCTAACAATGTCAAGATGATTGCTGTCAAGTTGATCGGTCTAACAATAGGCTAGTCCCCTCTACATGGGTATATTACAGAACATGTCTATTTCATATATTTATAAAAGTGAATATCTAAACCAGGACCACACCAAGGTGGGGACATGAGTTTACACCAACACTACAGTTAAATTACAACATCAGGAGTACCATGAGAACCCGGCTCACAAAACAAGCCATGCACATCCAAGGTGTAAGTTTGGTGAGTAGGAGCAAAAATGTTAATTACACATAAATAAATAAAGGTTCAAGGTACAAACTAAAATAAGGACCAAACAGCTCACAGTCAGCTTGCACTGACGTCACATTACACTTCCACTAAAATAAATTCTCTTGAGAAATTATGACATCTTTCATATTCAGTAAGGAGATAAAACATTTCATTTTTTAATATCTCCATCAGAAACTTGAGGAAAATACTGAAAATATCTTGTATGAACCTGGAATGTTTCTGTTAGAAATGTGACTTGGTTCTTATTTGAAGTTTGTACTTGAAGATTAGTGAGTGTTACCATTAGTACATTATATATATACTGATGACAGAGGGGAGGGGTTAACATTGGGATGGGCGTGTCTAGACATAAGGGTGGATTTATTCTACCTTGACCCCGTCTCCTCATCAAACACATCAACAACCTCAGCCGCCTCCTCCTCAATATTGCACTCCCCCTCCTGAACCTCCTCCTTAACTTCCTGTGGCTGATCTCCCTCCTCCTCAGGGGGGACATTGCTGGACGGAGTTACCCGCCCTTTGTTATGATTACGCTGTGAGCTGCATCGTTGGGGAGAATTGAGGATTATTTTGTGGCATACATATACATATCATTCTCACTTCAACACTCAAGCTCCTGTTGTTTGTAACGGTAGCGTTCACAAAACATTAACATGACCAAACTTATTAATTCAAGTATAAGCGAAGTTCTTAAAACCGTTATATTTCACTGACAATTCGCTGATTGCATGGATAAAACTAACTTTTAGCCATCAAACAAGAAACAAGAACATAATCAATGACAGCAAATGTTTCATGAAGGAAAATTGTTGTTAACAAAGCTATACACTACACTTACTGTACATGTATAGTGGCTATATCTCTGTATAGTGGCNTACTGTATAGTGGCTATATTTACTGTATAGTGGCTATATTTACTGTATACTGGCTATATTTACTGTAGAGTGGCTATATTTACTGTATAGTGGCTATATTTACTGTATAGTGGCTATATTTACTGTATTAATATATCTACTGTATAGTGGCTATATTTACTGTATTAATATATCTACTGTATAGTGGCTATATTTACTGTATTGATATATCTACTGTATAGTGGTTATATTTACTGTATTAATATATCTACTGTATAGTGGCTATATTTACTGTATTAATATATCTACTGTATAGTGGCTTTATTTACTGTATTAATATATCTACTGTATGGTGGCTTTATTTACTGTATCAATATATCTACTGTATAGTGGCTATATTTACTGTATTAATATATCTACTGTATAGTGGCTATATTTACTGTATTAATATATCTACTGTATAGTGGCTATATTTACTGTATTAATATATCTACTGTATAGTGGCTATATTTACTGTATTAATATATCTACTGTATAGTGGCTATATTTACTGTATTAATATATCTACTGTATAGTGGCTATATTTACTGTATTAATATATCTACTGTATAGTGGCTATATTTACTGTATTAATATATCTACTGTATAGTGGCTATATTTACTGTATTAATATATCTACTGTATAGTGGCTATATTTACTGTATTAATATATCTACTGTATAGTGGCTATATTTACTGTATTAATATATCTACTGTATAGTGGCTATATTTACTGTATTAATATATCTACTGTATAGTGGCTATATTTACTGTATTAATATATCTACTGTATAGTGGCTATATTTACTGTATTAATATATCTACTGTATAGTGGCTATATTTACTGTATTAATATATCTACTGTATAGTGGCTATATTTACTGTATTAATATATCTACTGTATAGTGGCTATATTTACTGTATTAATATATCTACTGTATAGTGGCTATATTTACTGTATTAATATATCTACTGTATAGTGGCTATATTTACTGTATTAATATATCTACTGTATAGTGGCTATATTTACTGTATTAATATATCTACTGTATAGTGGCTATATTTACTGTATTAATATATCTACTGTATAGTGGCTATATTTACTGTATTAATATATCTACTGTATAGTGGCTATATTTACTGTATTAATATATCTACTGTATAGTGGCTATATTTACTGTATTAATATATCTACTGTATAGTGGCTATATTTACTGTATTAATATATCTTCTGTATAGTGGCTATATTTACTGTATACTGGCTATATTTACTGTATTAATATATCTACTGTATAGTGGCTTTATTTACTGTATTAATATATCTCCTGTATAGTGGCTATATTTACTGTAATAATATATCTACTGTATAGTGGCTATATTTACTCTTTTAATATATCTACTGTATAGTAATACAGTAAATATAGCCACTATACGGTAGATATATTAATACAGTAAATAAAGCCGCTATACAGTAGATATATTAAAAGCGTAAATATAGCCACTATACAGGAGATATATTAATACAGTAAGTATAGCCACCATACAGTAGATATATTAACACATTAAATATAGCCAGTATACAGTAGATATATTAATGCAGTAAATATAGCCAGTATACAGTAGATATATTAACACAGTAAATATAGACAGTATACAGTAAATATATCCACTATATACAGTAGATACATTAATACAGTAAATATAGCAACTATACAGTAGATATATTAAAAGAGTGGATATAGCCACTATACAGTAGACATATTATTACAGTAAATATATCCACTATACAGGAGATATATTAATACAGTAAGTATAGCCACTATACAGTAGTTATATTAATACAGTAAATAAAGCCAATATACAGTAGATATATTAAAAGAGTGGATATAGCCACTATACAGTAAATATATTAAAAGAGTAAATATAGCCACTATACGGTAGATATATTAATACAGTAAATATAACCACCATACAGTAGATATATTAACACAGTAAATATAGCCAGTATACAGTAGATATATTAAAAGCGTAAATATAGCCACTATACAGTATAGTGGCTATATTTACTGTAATAATATATCTACTATATAGTGGCTATATTTACTGTATACTGGCTATATTTAATGTGTTAATATATCTACTGTATGGTGGCTATACTTACTGTATTAATATATCTCCTGTATAGTGGATATATTTACTGTAATAATATGTCTACTGTATAGTGGCTATAATTACTGTATTAATATATCTACCGTATAGTGGCTATATTTACTGTATACTAGCTATATCTACTGTATAGATGTTATATTTACTGTATAGAGGCTATATTAACTGTACTGTTGTTATATCTACTGTATAGCAGTTATATTTACTGTATACTAGCTATATCTACTGTGTAGTGGCTATATTTACTGTATACTAGGTATATTTACTGTATACTAGCTATATCTACTGTATACTAGCTATATATACTGTATACTGTATCTATATATCTACTGTACAATGATTATATCTATTGCATAGCGTCTATTATAATTTACTGTATAGTGGCTATATTTACTGTATAGAGGCTGTATTTACTGTATAGATGTTATATCTACTGTATAGCAGTTATATTCACTGTCTAGTGGTTGTGTTAACTGTGTAGCAGACATATTTCACTATATTCACTGTCTGATACATCCCTGGATTTCTAACCTCCCACAAACTATTTACCAATATGAAGATAATATTTGAAACAGGAGGAGTAAGATGTGTACTGTTCAGTACAACTGGAGCCAAACAAACAACAGGAACTTGAGATGTCAGGCTGTTACTGACCAGCACACTCCAGTCTTATCAAAAACACTCTGTTACTGACCAGCACACACCAGTCTTATCAAAAACACAGAGTTTCTTTTCTACATTTAATGCTTGTTATGACCCTGTTACATGTTATGTTCTTTTTTTTTAAACAAAAACAATCAGTTATTACTGATCTCATTAATCAATAATGGTTAGAAAAAACATTGACAAATCACACTTTGTTATCTCAGATTTAATAATCACTCCGACACGCACAGCATCCGGTTATATAAGCTAGCCACATAATCATGACACATGGTCTGAGGTTGTCACCACAAAAATAATGATGTGCTGAAATTCCTTTTCTGTTGATGATATAATGAGAAATGATGATGTGATGAGCTTAGATGATGACACAATACCAGCCTTGGACAAGGTCAGCTTGACCTTGTAGCGATTTGTCGTTGGCCAGGATACTTAGGTAGTGACCGTTGGTGGTCAAGGTACATGTATAAGGAAATGGCATTTTGTAGCAGTATATACAGTATATACAAGGTTTCTATAATACAGGTAGGAAATATGATGGTGCAAGGGTTGAAACAAATACTAGTATCTGGTATATAGGTAATAGTACAATTGAATAGAGAGTGTAGGTACACTACTGGAGCCCTATATAACCACTCACAGTCCCCAGGGTTCTACTGTACAGGATAACAGACTAGGGAGGAAAGCAGACCCACATAATGTACATGCAAGGGGAAGGGCTATTTGAACTACAACTGAAAATAAACTTTGGGAAATATATAGGAAAATAATCAGAAAAAACAACAGTTCTTATTTACAATATATGTATATATTCAATACTATCTATGCAAACTACAAATTGATAAATCAGACTTTGATATACTAGTTTATCATATATATACATGATATATAACATTTCAGCATTGTCAAGCATTCTACAATTCCACATCAATTCTTTATATTGACTGCATATCCCCATTACACTGGTTTATATAATATAGAGGGATATACATACAGCATTCAACACACATAGCCTAACGCTTGTAGCAGCATCAATGATATACAGGCGAGAAGCCAAACCACAAGGCACCCGTCTTAACCTGTAGCCGTTTACTGAACAGTTAACAGTAATGTCACTATTTACAGCAAAGGAAAGCCTTTATTTGATGGCTCAGGTCTTTTACAAGTGTTGATATGATAATAGAATGTAGGGAGTTTTCAAACACTTTTCCTCAAATCCCCCAAAGGGGTGTTTCCCCCCAAAAACCATATTTGGTTGTACCTTCCATTTTTCAAGGATTGTCCTATATGTTTATATGTTTAAGAATCTGGAGGCACAGAATCTTGAAAATCTATAAAATATACCCTCCAAACTTAAAATCCATGGGGAACACTGATTAAATAATGGTAATGGTCATATATAGAGGTTTCAATAAGTTGATGACCATAAAGGAGATTTTAACATTATGATGATATGACTATGAGTTTAGCACTAGGTAAGTGATATTTGACTGTTTATTATGATATGATGGACATGACAGCATCAGGCGACATTAAAGTGATATTGGTGAAAAGCATGCCAGACATTACAAAGTGTACAATGTCCACACTGACGTAATATCTCAGCTTTAACATGCTGAATCTCTAGGGTGGTATTACATGTGGTGAGCAGTGAAGTTATTACAGAGGTAAATCAAGAAGATCCATTCTGCTGTACACAAGTCCAGGGTCACCACCCTTATTGAGCTGATGTATAGTACATAGGACATATTAAAACTGTTTACCCTACATCACAGTAACATAATAACATCTTGTTAATGTGAACATTTTAATCAACTTTAATCTGTGATGAATGTAGATAGTAAATGATCATGAACTTAATTGAGACATGTTTTAATCTGTTAATTAAATTCACAGATAATTACTGGAAAACAAAGTTGATTGCAATTATCTATAAGCTGCTGTAATTTGTAAACAAAACAAACAAAAATCACAAAGCTTGTTACCTGCGCAGCTGGTATTGAACAGGTTTATCAGACCTTCCTCGTTCATATGACCTTGGGAGCTCACTTGACCTTGACTCTGGGTTATATGACCTTGGCTGACCTTGATATCTGTGGTCATTCCGCATCTGACTGGATTCATTGGACGGAGTTGCCATGGGGCGTTGTACTTGACCATTTGACCTTAACCTATCTTGATCATTGGACCTTGACCTATCTTGATCATTTGACCTTGACCTATCTTGATCATTGGACCTTGACCTGTCTTGATCATTGGACCTTGACCTATCTTGATCATTTGACCTTGACCTATCTTGATCATTTGACCTTGACCTATCACCCCTGCTCTGGTCATTAGAGATGGGCCTGTCATTCTGTCTGGACTGGTCAGCTCTTCTGTCATCTGTTTTATCACTGTATCTGTTAGATCCTCTTACGTTTTCCATCCTAAATCAATAAAGACCAAAAAACATTAATTTAGTGAATAGTGAAGCAAAATACTTACATACATGCTAAGTATCTTGTATGTGTGAAATCTAAGATAAGAATTTGATAATAAAGTGCTCTACCAAGTAAATCTTAATAGCAGTCTATCACAGTACCCATCAGTTATTTTATCATATATTCATCCTTAATCACAATCATTCTTTTCAGTTATAACCTAATTTTGTTTGTCAATATAACAGTTAAAACTATAGCCTTTTGAACTGTTTATATTTGATAAATCGCAAACAAGAGGAAATCTGAGACAGACTACTAGAATCAGAAACTATGGACTCATTCCATTGAAATCTAATTTGTTATTTTGCCTACTTTTGTCAACTGGAGCTGAAAAAGACAACTCAAACTTTGTCATTAAACTAGCCTAGTATGTCTTTCAGCACATTCAGGTTTTTTTTTTTACTGTTCCTAAATAGCCATAAAATAAATTTAAACAGACATCTTAAGCCATGTCTCCTGCTTTCCATCCTTACCTGCTTTCAAATCTTTGGTCAACACCGTTCCTACTGTCGTCAAGGGAAACGCCAAGTGATGCCTGCCAACAGAATGTATAGTGTTTCAAACATATCCAACAATAAACATTCCTGAACTTAGAACATTTCAATGTTTTCTTTACGGGTTATAAAAGCATCTCACCAATTTTCCATTAGGGCCATTTCAATTCAATTTTACTGCAGTAAGTGTATTTTAACATTGAAGAGGGAGTGAATGTTGCTCATGAATATTCAGAGAATTCATTAATTACTCAGCAGTGCTATTTATCAATTTCGGATAATTTGTAAGATGTTCACAAGTATGCACAATTTTAAATTAAGGACTGGCTGGTACAATAGTGATGCTGAACTTTATATTGCAATGCAAAATTTCTTTTAGCTTGTATGAAGCAATTTACTTGCAGTTGAATTTTGAATTAATTAGGCCAATCAGTATTTTTTTTATTCAGGGTTTGAAAAGGCACAGAAAGTCTGATCAAACCTTATAGACATCTTATTAGAAATTACAATCAAAAGTATTACTTTAAAATGAATTAAAACACATCAATTAGTCAGAGGAAGATCTATTTATCATGTTCTGACAAAATTAACATAATGATGGTATACAGAAAAATACAGGTAATCCATTATACAACATAACAAGAGATCCCAGAGGGACTCGGCGCCCACCATTGTACCATCTTCATTAGTTCTATGTTAGAGGGACTCAGTGGCCACCATTGTACCATCGTCATTAGTGGTATGTGAGAGGGACTCAGCGCCCACCATTGTACCATCGTCAATAGTTCTATGTTAGAGGGACTCAGCGCCCACCATTGTTCCATCGTCAATAGTTCTATGTTAGAGGGACTCGGCGCCCCCCATTGTACCATCTTCATTAGTTCTCTGTTAGAGGGACTCGGCGCCCACAATTGTACCATCTTCATTAGTTCTCTGTTAGAGGGACTCGGCGCCCACAATTGTACCATCTTCATTAGTTCTAGGTTAGAGGGACTCAGCGCCCACCATTGTTCCATCGTCAATAGTTCTATGTTAGAGGGACTCGGTGCCCACCATTGTACCATCTTCATTTGTTCTATGTTAGAGGGACTCGGCGCCCACCATTCTACCATCTTCATTAGTTCTATGTTAGAGGGACTTGGCGCCCACCATTGTACCATCTTCCTTAGTTCTATGTTAGAGGGACTCGGCGCCCTCCATTGTTCCATCGTCAATCGTTCTATGTTAGAGGGACTCGGCCCCCACCATTGTACCATCTTCATTTGTTCTATGTTAGAGGGACTCAGTGTCCACCATTGTACCATCGTCATTAGTGGTATGTGAGAGGGACTCAGCGCCCACCATTGTTCCATCGTCATTAGTTCTATGTTAGGGGGACTCAGTGGCCACCATTGTACCATCGTCATTCGTTCTATGTTAGAGGGACTCGGCCCCCACCATTGTACCATCTTCAATAGTTCTATGTTAGAGGGACTCAGTGTCCACCATTGTACCATCGTCATTAGTTCTATGTTAGGGGGACTCAGTGGCCACCATTGTACCATCGTCATTAGTGGTATGTGAGAGGGACTCAGCGCCCACCATTGTACCATCTTCCTTAGTTCTATGTTAGAGGGACTCTGCGCCCACCATTGTACCATCTTCCTTAGTTCTATGTTAGAGGGACTCGACGCCCACCATTGTACCATCTTCACTAGTTCTATGTTAGAGGGACTCGACGCCCACCATTGTACCATCTTCACTAGTTCTATGTTAGAGGGACTCGGCGCCCTCCATTGTTCCATCGTCAATCGTTCTATGTTAGAGGGACTCGGCGCCCACAATTGTACCATCTTCATTAGTTCTAGGTTAGAGGGACTCAGCGCCCACCATTGTACCATCTTCCTTAGTTCTATGTTAGAGGGACTCGGCCCCCACCATTGTACCATCTTCATTTGTTCTATGTTAGAGGGACTCGGCCCCCACCATTGTACCATCTTCAATAGTTCTATGTTAGAGGGACTCAGTGGCCACCATTGTACCATCGTCATTAGTTCTATGTTAGAGGGACTCAGTGGCCACCATTGTACCATCGTCATTAGTTCTATGTTAGAGGGACTCGGCGCCCACCATTGTACCATCTTCATTAGTTCTATGTTAGAGGGACTCGGCGCCCACCATTGTACCATCTTCATTAGTTCTATGTTAGAGGGACTCGGCGCCCACCATTGTACCATCTTCATTAGTTCTATGTTAGAGGGACTCGGCGCCCACCATTGTACCATCTTCATTAGTTCTATGTTAGAGGGACTCGGCGCCCACCATTGTACCATCTTCATTAGTTCTATGTTGGTTTGATCTGTTCTCTTGTTTTCTCTTATTTGTTAAATCGAGTCATGTACACAGTAAATGCACCTTGAGGTAACTTTTGATCTAAACTTCATACTGCTGTTTATAAAAGACAACCTTGAACATGAGTTTGTTTGTTCCTATATTTACTAGTACAGAACAATTGTACTTAATATGAAAGAAATAGAACCGATAAATGCAATATGAGAAAGGTCTGTTAAGTACTTCTAGTGAAATTGTGATAATATTCTTGAGATGTCAAAATCCAAATGGTCACCTTTGGCCATTTTATTTTGATGATCAGTCTCAAAATAAAACATGCACAACTAGGGACCAAGAAGAATCTTCATAAGAAATTTGAGAAAGATCTGTTGTGTTCTTTTTGAAAAATAGCAACAACAAACTTTAACTCTTGAAATCCAAGATAGCTGCCTGGTAGCCATCTTGTTCTTCTGATCAGTCTCAAAAGGGGAACCTACATATCAAATTTGAGAAAGATTCCTCTGGTACCTGCGAACTATTTTGTTTATTCTATCTGTCTCAAAATTAAACATGAACGATGTAGGGGAACTTATATATCAAATTCGAGAAAGGTCCCTCAAGAACTTCCTGAGAATTAGCAAAAACAAACCTTCACTGTTTAAATCCAAGATGGCCACTTGTCGTCAGTCGACCATTTTGTTTATCTGAACAGTCTCAAAATTTAATAGGCATTACTAAAGACCATGGGGAGCCCTCATATGAAATTAGAGAAAAATCCCTTCAGTACCTCTAGAGAAATAGCACTTACAAACTTTAACTCTAAAAATTCAAGACAGCCACTTATCGGCTGTCTTGGTTTTGAGATCAGTCCAAAAATTTCATATGCATTACAAGAGACCATGGGGAACCTTTATGTGAAATTTGAGAAAGATCCCTCCAGTACTGCCCGAGAAATAGTGCTTACAAACTTCAACTCTCAAATACAAGATGGCTGCCTGTTAGCCATCTTTGGTTTTGTGATCAGTTCCAAAATTCGCTATGCATAACTAAGGACCTTGGGGTACCTTTGTGTGAAATTTGAGAAAGATCCCTTGAGTACTTTCTGAGAAAAAGCGCTAACAAGAATTGTTTACGCACTGACGTAATGACAGATAGATGACAGACCACGGACGAAGGGTGATTTGAATAGCCCACGATCTGATGATGGTGGGCAAAAAGCAGCCAACAGTACAAAGCTTATAATATATAGTGTAACAACATACAAATGTGTAGGGTCAAATATATACACCAGTAAATGCTGTGTCCCAGTATATAAACATGTAGTATACAATTGTGTTGGGTCAAATATATACACCAGTAAATGCTGTGACTGAGTATATAAACATGTAGCATACAAACAATGACAGTCTAACATACACAGAAATACTATTAGTCCTATGTAGCATAATATAACTGGAAATCACAACAGGAAAACTAGCATCCACAGGTGAACTGAACGATTACATAACACAAGATACAAAGGTTACAGGTCAGAGGTTAACTTTGAACAACAGTTTGTCCACAGCCACAAAACAAAGGTCAAAGGTTAATGGTTAAAGGTTATATAAGTCACATCCACAGCCAACCTGCTCAGAGCTGATGGTAGTGGAGTCAAAATCCCGGCTCCGCAAAGTGTCGTGGGAGTTTAGAGATATGCCATCCTGGGATAGGTAGTCAAAGCGAGGCTGAAATGTGCAGTTTTGGTGTCCATCAGGTAAAATACTGACATATGAATCCTGTGAACTATTATTACCTCTACCATAAATAAAATTGTAACAGATAATTCAAATACATTGCCACTTGATACAAAGACATGAGTGAAGGTCTGTACAATGCCAAAGTATCAAACATGTACTGTGACGGGTTTGTATTGCCTTATCATCTAAGAAGACGGGTGTCACTAACGTTATATACCTTTGTGTGGTCCATGCCTGGCCTTGAAGGCTGTTTGTCTGTCCCAGGACGGTTCGGCAGCTGTCTGTCTGGCTGCTGGTTATATCTGTCATTCTGACTGTAATTAGGAAACAATACACTATAACACTAAAATATTCATATTCTGAAGCGAAACTTCCCATTTTAAACATTTTCAACATCAATATTTGTTATTAATATAATCAGCTAAATAATCAATGATAACATTCTTTTGATATTGCTGATAAAAATTTCATTTTGATATTGATAAAATAATATATTCTGGCTCAACTGCCAAACAAGCACTTGAGCAATATCCATTTTGTTCTCTTTATAGTAATGGTGACATCACCTTGGGTGAAGAGCACTGTATTGTGAACCTATCCAACTTACCTTGGTACTTTAACTCTGTATGAATTTAATTGAAATTTCACCTCAAATGAAAACACTAGACAGAGATAACATCCCTGTGTGCAGACGGTCATGGGCAACAATATACGACCTCCTCTCTTAATGGCAGCCGCGTAAAAATAAACATGATGAGATGTTGATAGTGGCAAGTTTCTGTAGACATACCTTTTGTGTTTGTAGTTACTGTTGGTATCGCTGTAGTAACTTTGTCGTATGGACTCTGGGGTCTGAGTATTATTGCTGGGGTAGGAAGGCAGTGCATAATCTCCATTGGTCAGATGGATTCCCAATCTAGGATCAGGATCAATGTCACTACCAACACAAAGTAAGCCATCAAAAATCATCTTTGAGAGATAAAAATAATAGAATATTATGTAGGGAAAAAGTGAAGAAAAAAACGAAGGCAGAGAGTTTTCAAACTATTCTACTGTATACAAGCATTTAAAATTTAATTTAAACTATTTCCTCCATGTTTACAAAATGAAAAATTTAAGATTGTTTGCACTTTTAAGAAGATGGAACAATTTGAAATTATTTTAAGTTAAGTTGCAGAAAGTATTAACACGTCCGATATCAGGACCAGTAGCATAGTTGATAAGTTCCATTTTATACACAAGAAGTTGGGGGATCAAATCCTCATAGTGGAAACAAGATATTTCAGTAAAAATGGAAATTATTGTAAATAAATTTCTTATACAAACAACTGTTTGCTACAGTAACTGTATGTACAGTACACATACCCAGTACTTTTCCTCTTTGGGGATCGGTATCGCTGTCGTGTTTTGGGAGAATATTTCACACGGAATGGCTCTGCCTTTGTCCTGAAATTCACATTATTGTATCAAAGATTTTGAATTAATCATAATTACAATATCAAAGGTTTTCATAAAATAAAAGAAATATGCAGGACCAGATATTTGGTATATTAAAGTTGCTTTAATTTTGTTCCTTTTACTTCTTGGTAAGGTAAGCAGCCATCTTTACATCATTTAACAGCTATGGTCATTTAATAACGTGCTAGGTTTTGGTAGAAGAGGAACCAATGACCTGTGGCCAGTACCTGGCAACTGCCCCCAAGTAGGCCTTGAACCCGCAACCCAGATGTGGAGGGCTAGTGATCGTAGACAGTCATGCCCCTTAACCTGTTGACCAACGCTGCACCATATATCTTTTCCTTTACTTTTTTACGCATAGGCCTTTGTTATCTATTGGGACTTTCAGTGTATGTTAAATCAACAAATTTATGAGACACAATATTTCTATTTAACCGTACAGACATGTAATATCAAAACTGATGATACAAGTTACACTGTGGCATCAAGGATGTATGTTCACACACAGTATAATGTTGGTGACTTACTCGACTTGGACGAATGGTATGTCCTGTAGTTCTGCCTCTGTCATACCCTCTGTATCCACCAGATCATAGCTGAACAAACAAGTCACAGTTAACCAATAAACAACTATCAACCAATTACAACATGCTAAATTCTAATTATAGCAAAAAGTACTGACATTAATTTAAACAATCATGCATTCGTTTTTTGCGTAAATTAATTGTACGCAACTAAACCATGACATTATGAAATATTTAAATGTAACAACTGCTGACACTGGAGTTTCTCTGGTCAGTATTTTGATAATAAGATACTTTGAGTAATTATACACCATGTTAAGCTATCATTACATTAAATAGGTTTTAAAAATTAAAACAATTCTTTATTACACTGTACATGTCCTTTAAAAAAAATATAACCAACAATCAAAGAGATAACATGAAATATTTACTTGAAATGTTGCTGTAATTCCTCCGGAGGTTTTTTATTAGCAGGAGATTTACTGCGCCGTCGTCGTCGTCGCTTGGCAGCAAATTCCTCCGTAGGTGCAGAATGTACTGATGAGCCACCACTGAAATAGCAAACAGGTACAAAAATGGTACAGGTCTGTCTATGTTTGTCTGGGAAACTACAAACATGCTCTGTAATGTTCTTTCAGAGTTTTACCGATGAAACTACAAACATGCTCTGTAATGTTCTTTCAGAGTTTTACCGATGAAACTACAAACATGCTCTGTAATGTTCTTTCAGAGTTTTACCGATGAAACTACAAACATGCTCTGTAATGTTCTTTCAGAGTTTTACCGATGAAACTACAAACATGCTCTGTAATGTTCTTTCAGAGTTTTACCGATGAAACTACAAACATGCTCTGTAATGTTCTTTCAGAGTTTTACCGATGAAACTACAAACATGCTCTGTAATGTTCTTTCAGAGTTTTACCGATGAAACTACAAACATACATGATAATGTTTTGTCAGTGTTTCTCTTAAGAAACTATATATATGTAGATGTAAGTTAATGTTCTGTGACTAACTACACGTGTGTGGTAATCAAAGCTTCTTTGACATTAACCCGACAGGTCAGGAAATCTCTGTGCTGAAAGTAGAAGACTGTTAATGCTATATAATTACACTAAAAATCCCATGTTTATATTTTATAATATCTACAATACAATTTAATAGTTCAGCACAGAAATACATTACAGAACAACATGCTTGCTATCTGATGCTGAATAGCAATACAATACATAGAGAATAATACATGCCTTTTTCCATATCACATCCAGTATCAACCCGAGACTGCAATATCGATGGCTGATATTGGTTGAGGGTTGATACTGGGTGTGATATGCAAAAAGGTGTGTTTTATTCTGTTTATTACATACTTACTATCTTATGATCTATTTTTCTTTTGAAATATTGAAAAACGTAAAACTTCCAAAGGGGGTGTGATACAGGTTTTGCGGGCTGATACAGGTTTTGGGGTGTGATACAGCGGGGGCTGATATGGGTTAGAGCAATTGTGTCATATCGCATATACAAAAAAAACGTATTTATTAGTAAGTATGTAATAAAAGTGGGTTTGTAGAGGTATAGGTGCAGTGCAGTTTCCACAATACTCAGGGCCTCATTTTACATTTCTCACATAAATTATTTATCTATAGTGGAATGTATTTATTTTCGTTTAAGATGACAAAGAGGGTCAATTTGTCATTATTTCTAATAATTGAATCATCACAAAAAACAATGCAAAATAGTAAAAAAAAAAAAACATGAAAAAATGAATTACAGCCTTCACTGTTGGTTATTTTGCCAGGGTATGAAAAAAGGTCAAATTGGCAGCATGCACCTTTGATGTGAAATATTGTGAAGGAATTAAACTAAAGAAATTAAACACAAGAAATATGGAATTAAAAACAGTCCACAAAAAAAACACAAATATATAGAAAACGGGTTATAAATGTCAACAAAATACATATACAATTAATATACAAGTAAGCCCAACACCAAACTGCTCAGCTTACCCTATCGGCATATTTTCTTTGTTGGGAATATACATCCTGAAAGAAATATACATATTACCACATTGATCTACTCCGTCTACTCATCTACTGGGGAAGTCTAATCTTCCTGTGAAGGTGGACATTTTCACATTACGGTAAGTTATTAATTTCCATATTCAAATGTATAATTTACAGTTATGCATAAGAGCATGTAACTTTTAAACCAGATCATTGACATATGCAGAATTACATGTGCATTAGCCACACATGGAATTTTAAAAATTCGAATTTGATACACAGAAAAACTCCACTTTCACAGTAGTGTAATGTTAATATTGTCATTAGATCATGCTCTGACTAAAAGTCTTAGAGCTGTTCGACAACCTAATTAAACATTATTCTAATTGTGAAGACTGATGTCTTCCTTCCAATGGGCATATCCACAATGATTTTAGAATGAAACCCGCAGCTTTTTGTTCATCTCTGAAATTATATCCAACACTCTTACCCTTCCATGGCTTCTTTCCATTGACTTTCAAACCAGTCGTCAGCGGAACTCTTGGGTCGACGGTGGTTGGGACGTGTCGGAGATACATCAGACTCGCTGCCACTGTCCCCATCTCTCCTATAGAGTAAAAATGATTGTCCTGTAGCAATATCTTTACGGAGACAAATACACTAAGAAACCTATCCAATGAGCACACTATTCTATCATATACAACTTTCATCGTTTCCCTCACTAATTTTACAAGTCTGTTGTGTTTCTCTACCATGTGATACGAAATGTAACTGTAAACTACTTTTACTGGAGATTTCATTACCGCACAATTTTTCCAGTTACAGACACCCAGATTTAGCACTTATCCAGTTACAGACACTCAGATTTAGCACTTATCCAGTTACAGACACCCAGATTTAGCACTTACTCTATGGTAAATATGCAGTAACAGTCATTCTATATACACTTTACCTCACGGCAATGTTTGGAGGAATGTTTAAGTGTGAAGATGGTTTTTGAGCATTATGAACTTCAGTAAACAAAACATGTTTGGTTATGTTGAGTCACATTACCGCCAACTCATACAGCCTCAGATAATATCTGTGTTTCAAGCATGGCATTGTGACTGTCTTTTCCAACAACTATATAACTATCAATTTTTGCATGCGATGCAATTTTAACTACCGGTAATAACATCCAAACAAATCAAATCAATTGAAAAAAGGGTGGTCGGGTGGTGCAGTGCATAGCGCACTTGCCTTCCACCAAGGCGGCCGGGGTTCGATTCCCCGATCGGACGTGAAAAGGTTGGGGTCACCTGCCCGACCACATGGGTTTTCTCTGGGTACTCCGGTTTCCTCCCACAATAAGACCCCCCACACGCTAACATCCGGACCAACAAAAGTGATTAATATAAGTTGAAATAATTTGTTTCATAATTGTTGTAAAATAAATAAAGTTTATATTTTTTTTTATTTTTTTTTAAATCAATTGAAAGACTTGTAACAACATATAGTAATTCAAACCTTCTACGACGTGAGAATGAAACATCGCTTTCATTGTCCGATCCTTTTCTGTTGGGGAAGTACATATGTCTGCAAAATAAAACAGGATACATTAACACCAGATACAGAATAAATAACTCTCCACAAAGAATACAAGTCCTTTGTATGATTACCTCCGACAAAAAAACATCAGGATGCCTGTTTGTATCACTGGATCAACGTTTACGTCAGTACAACATTATTTCCATTAAGCTATGCTGTCCTTATACAGTAAAACTTGATAAATTAGCCATCATTATCTCCAGTAAAAGTGTCTGGATTGTGAGACTGTTGGATTTCTTGGACAATTTTGTATAGAGAAAGGTCAATCTAAAATACTGACTGAAGAGATGGACAACTAGGTAAGTGATGGCTAGGTTTATGAGGCTGGATAGTGAGACAAGATGATTAGTAGTACGTATACATGTAGCTGGATTGTGGTACAACTGAATAAGTGGTGGCAGGATTGATAAGGTTTGTATATAACATAGATAAATACTTACTTCCGGCGGTATCCACTTTCTGTATCACTTGGCGGCCCGACTCGTCTGTGATAGGATCTTGTGGCGTCACTGTACATAGATGTTGGCGAGTCTCTCCCTGATGTATACAGACCCCTGTGTGTATGATCAGGTTATAAATCAGCATGGTAAACAATACTAAGGCACATCAACAATTTGTCAGACTGGGAGAGGGATTCTTGATTGAAAAAGTTTTTTGTGATAATGACCAGGACAGGGTCAAACTAAGACAAACTTTATTATCTGTCACCCGTTGCGTCCCAATGGTTAACTACTTTGAGGATTAAATATGCCATACAAAATATTAAATCTCTTGGACTAAACATGATCCCATATATGTTAACGCCAATGTTTGGTCCCCTTTGCTTGTTGACACATGATAACGTACGCCTCCACATCGGTTTCCCAGGGAGCCGAGCGAGTACTCTTAGGGGAGCCCTTCTGTAAGTCCGGCAGACTCCTGTTGTGTCTGGTGCTTTTGTCCGGGGGAGGTATCGCTATACGGTTGACTGTTATACCCGCCATGTGTGGCATGCCTTCCCCATGGGCTGAAATACAGGTAAAGCATAAGAGTTCAAAATAAATATCAGTAAGAGAATACATCAAATATGAGTTTTAGCATCACCTCTAGGTGAACTAAAACATGTAAAACTATAGCTGTAACTATGTAAGTATTTTGCTCTTTTAAAGAGACGCATTATCATTAAAAAAAAAATCTCAATAAATTGGACAGGTAACATGCTCTAAGTAAACACTACGTGTTGTTTAGATGTATTACCACTGAGTCTGGAGTCTGATGAGGTCCTGCGTTGATGTCGTTTACTTGCTACCCGATTGACATTGGGCTGTCTTCGGTCATTTTCTGTTTGACTAAGTCTCTCATGGCGACCACTGTAACAAATAAATACTGATTGTATTAGACATAAACCACAGTACTACAGTAAAACAGCCAGATATAACAAACCCCAGTACTACAGTAAAACAACCTGATATAACAAACTCAAGTACTACAGTAAAACAGCCAGATATAACAAACCCCCCAGTACTACAGTAAAACAGCCAGATATAACAAACCACAGTACTACAGTAAAACAGCCAGATATAACAAACCCCCGTACTACAGTAAAACAACCAGATATAACAAACCCCAGAACTACAGTAAAACAGCCAGATATAACAAACCCCAGTACTACAGTAAAACAGCC